AGGTACTAGGGAGGCTGAGGAAGGAGGATCATTTCAGCCCAGGAGTTTGAGGTTGCAGTGAGCTATGATGACGCCACTGCACTCCAACCTGGGTGACAGAGTTAGACCTTGTCTCAAAACAAACAAAAAGACAAAACTTGCAGGCCCAATAGTGCATGTCTTGTTTGGGGAATAGTAAGCAATTCTGACTGGTGGGCTACATGTATGAGAGTGGTAAGAAAGAAGGCTAAACAATTAAATAGAGGTTAAAAATCATGAATGTCAGCATATACAATTGTTTGGAATTTTTTTCTTTTTTTTTTTTAGTACATTCCAGAGAAGGAATGGGTCAACTCCCACGAGTGGAGGAGATGTCAACTGTTTGGATTTTAATCTAAAGGCTATTGTACGCACATTCAGTTGGGAATCATTTATGATGTTCTCTCTTTATATAGCTAATAAAGTTCCTAACTATTAAAAAATCACTGAAAATGGTTATCTATAAAGCATTTGCACTAGGGACTTACCTGAACTGTTTCATTCCCACCTCTCAGGTCCTGGAGAGGACTCCTTGGAGGTTTCAAAATCTAGAGGTAACCATTAGATTTTTTAAGATCTGGCATATTTAGTAAGAATCAGTTTATTTCAAGGTATACCATGAGTAGAAAGCTGAAATGTCTATAAAAACCTCTGAAATTCCTCAAATTCCTACTGCTCAGTGCTATACTATGTGGCAGATTTAAAGATTTCACATCTATTCCCTTCTACCTCTCCACCTTCCCCAGTTAATTTACCTACTCTCATCCCATATGGTCTGAGTGAAGCTCTACACCACGGGTGGGGAACCTGCAGCTTTAAGGCCAAATGCAGCCTTCTAGGTCCTTAAGTGTGGCCTTTTGACTGAATCCGAATTTTACAGAGCAAATCCTATTATTTTTATTTATACATTTTTGTTCGTCTTTTATATTTTTATTTTATTTTTAAAATGGATGTATTTAAAATACCAAAAAATAAAATAAGTTTCAATGAAATAATCTTCCCAGATTGACCAGCACAATTAGAACATTAGTAAGCCATAGGGCTAAATTGACGGTTGCTATGCTCATGATTTAGTTCTAACTTCCCTGCCTAACTGGCACGACTACTGCATGAAACTGGTTGTGGAGAGTTTACTGAGGTCGAGTATGCCAGTCTGTTATCAGCTTTTGACAACAGAGCACTGTGTTTTTGTTTCAAGTGGAATTTGTGAATAGTTGTACAGCTCAATGTATTTTTTAATTCTGTCTGCTTAACAGCCCATCATAACAAAGAAGACCAAGAGAACGCTGAAGGAAGAAAACAGATTTTTTTTAAATGAGGATTTGGAATTGTAATATTATTTTGTTTCTGCTAAAGATGATTTGCTTGCTTTGTGATATCACTGCAATATCAATATTAAAGAAATTTAGTGCTCATCAGCATTTTAACACTCATAAGGACCACATTATTTTAAATTAAAGGGAGAGGCACAAAAGGTTGTATTGCAGAAATTATTAACAAAAGATGAAAAGCAAAAGCAAAGACAATTCTTTCAAGCAGCAATAAGACCTGGAAATCATGCCACTGAAGCAACTTATAAAGTAGCTTATATACTTGGGGAAAAAAGGGAAGCCATTCAGTGATGTAGAAATCGTGAAAGAATGCATTGTTGAAGTTGTAGGATGCTTAGACGCCAACAACATTTCAAAGTACAAACAACTGCCTCTTTCAAGAACCATAATTGACGGGCAGCATGAATTCGGCTTCAACTTAAGAGAACAACTTCATGTGATACTTCAAAAGGAAAATATATATTATTCAATCGCTTTAGATGAATCAACTGATACTACTGACTTGGTGCAGGTTTTATACTTCTTCATTTGGGTCATAACAGAAGATTTTCTTTGCTATGAAGAGTTACCCTCTTTGGGCACTCTTGTGAACAGAACACAGGGAACAGATACCTTCAACAACTTTAAATGTCGTGAAGTTAGACTGAATTTGGTAAATTTAGTGGGTATTTGTTCAGATGGTGTACCTTCCATGACAGGAAAAAAAATGAAAGGTTTATTGTACAGATAAAAAATAGTATTATTAATAACTGGCCAGGCACAGTGGCTCATGCCTGTAAACCTAGCACTCTGGGAGGCTGAGATGGGAGGATTGCTTGAGCTCAGGAGTTCAAGATCAGCCTGAGCAAGAATGAGACTCTGTCTCTACTAAAAATAGAAAAATTGCCATGTGGTGAGCACCTGTAGTCCCAGCTACTTGGTAAGCTGAGGCAGGAGGATTGCTTGAGCCCAGGAGTTTGAGGTTGCAGTGAGCTATTATGATGCCACTGCACTCTAGCTGGGGCAACAGAGCAAGACTCTGTCTCAAAAAACAAAACAAAAGTATTAACAGATCCAGATACTTTCATTTCTTTTCAATGTATCTTGCATCAGCAAAATCTCTGTACTAGAATTAAATGTCTGCTAATGATTTGCCTTATATGGAAGTGTGTTAAACAATTTGCCATTTTTTTAATTAAAAAATTTTTTTCGGCCGGGCGCAGCGGCTCACGCCTGTAATCCTAGCACTCTGGGAGGCTGAGGCGGGCGGATTGTTTGAGCTTAGGAGTTCAAGACCAGCCTGAGCAAGAGCAAGACCCCGT